TTGACGACCACTAATATAGTGCAACCCCCTCCTCATGCAGGAGATCCACTGTACAGCATCCCTGATAGGTTGGGCCTTTAAGGAGGTAGCATTGTCTCCTTTAAAAATTATCGTTAAATGAGATGGCAGCACTTATTGGGATGACCTGTTCCATTATTAATCAGTTCATACTGCCAAGAGGTCCTTCCTAATGTTTAGTTCTAGAGTCCTTTATTGGCAAGGGCTCAGCTGGATGATCTTTTAAGTCATATCCAATTCTAAGACCTGTAGTACCACAGTGAACACTTTAAAGAATTGGATGTGTTAGTAGTTGATATTATCCCATTTTATCCACACGATGACCATGCAAAATAGGCTAGACTGTTTTGGCTGTGACTATACCTAAGCTATTCAGCAACTCCTGAAAAGAAAACTAAACCATGTGATCCTATCTAATGTCATGACTCACTATGAAGGGGATAAAGTTGGTCTTGCTTGTTGAGCATTTGTTGTAGCTCTTGGAGCGGGGTTCAGCAACTCCTGAAAAGAAAACTAAACCCATGTCATCCTATCTAATGCCATGACTCACTATGAAGGGGATAATGTTGGTCTTGCTTGTTGAGCATTCGTTGTAGCTCTTGGAGCTGGGGGCTATCTTCATTCTGTTATTTGCACCTCCCCAATCACACCAGCAGGAGCGAAATGAAAAAGTTAAATGGAAGAGTGGGAGATTCTTCATGTAGCAGAGCTGTGAAATGGCTCTGCGTCTAATGGCCAAGGGAAAGAGAAATGCATGCAGAAGCACACATGGCAGCCCATAGACTATTCTTTAATTGAATGGCACCTACAAAGAGTGTTTAGATTGTAAGGATGGCATTTCTTCAGCCACACTCGATCAGGACCTCAGCATTATAGTCTTCAACTTCAAGCACACTTGCTTTTTCAACTCCTTGGTGACCTTCAGCAAAGAAGTATATCTGCAGCCTTTTAGTGTCTCATCTACTTTTTCTCTCTTTTTAAAATGACTTCTCACCCAATCCACAACCCCCCATTCCATTTTCAGGATGTAGTTGCCAAAATAAGCTGTTATTAATAAATGGGAAGAGAGTCGTCTCTATAGGAAAGTAACTCTTTTGACCTTGACTTATCTACTGTCTAAATGCAGCATTAAAAGTTTAAAAGAACTTTTATGCCAAAATGTGTAGGGCAACCACAGCTGGGTATGTGAGTTGTCATCTTGGTTTCTTCTTATTGATTCAATTAATGTCCTTGAGTAGTTTAGAAATATTGGAAGCTGCCGTATCCCAGAGCAGGTTGCCTATACATCAAGCCCGTCCTCATGTTAATTCTGGCCGGATGTGATTCTGCAGGGCTTCAGATGGAGGGTCTTTCCTATCACCTGCTGCTCTCTGGTCCTGTTTAACTGAGAGATGGCTGGAATTGAACTGGCCATCTTCAGTTGGAATACTGTATTTCTTGTTATGTAATGCTGTGGAATGGGGGGAGGACAGGCAACAAACAAAACCCCCCACACCCATAAAAATAAAATCTCTCCATTTTTCAAATGGGAGGTGCAGAAAGTCTCCACATAGGACAGAGGGGGTTGGTGGGTGGGGAGGCAATCACATCATGTTTTTAGGCTGCTGCCCAGAGCCTCTGATTTTTGCTTAGAGGGTGTATGAAAGGCATCTTACCTCTGACTTTGCCCTTTTAACCATGGAGGTGCTCAGAACACCCTGAGCTTTGAGGAGGAAACAAGGGAAGAGGTGTTGGCCAGAATCCTACAGAATGAGTTCTGCTCAGTCTTCCAGCTGGCTTGGTCTTCCCAAAGAGGACCTGTGGAGACCAATGGGACCGTCTTCTATTGCACCTTGCTATTGGATGCCTCTTTCTCCAAGCTATCAAAATATCAAACGTCTTGTGCAGCAGATTGTTGCATAAGTGGTTTACATGAACAGGGCCCTGGCTTGTGTCTCCTGCCCCATTGTCCAGGCTTGGCTGAGTAGGCATCCGTTGATGTCAGATACTGTATATTGCTCAGCAAAGGTAGTACAAGTGGTGAGCATGGCGATCATCTTGATGGATTCCTTTCTACCAGTTTCATTATATAGCAGTTTGTTATCTCAGCATTTTCAGTGAGCTACACCTCTTCCAACATTTAGGGCACTCCAGATGTTTTGGGTTCCCAGTGTGGTGAATAGGATAGAGGGTCAGAGTAGGACGCAGGAGAACAGGCTTCAAATCCCCACTCGGCCATGGAAACTCACTGAGGGAGTGGAACTGGTAAAACCACTCCTTTAAATATCTCACTTACCTTGAAAGCTCTACTATGGTTGCTCTAAGTCGTTCCCCACTTGACAGCACAAAACACACACACACACCAGATGTGTTGGATTGACCCGTGTGGGTGATGGGAGACAATGGAGATTGCATTACATCTGGAGGGTGCCAGGTTGTGGAAGAGTGATAGAAAAGTTCATTAAGCTTTATGTGCCATTGAGTGGAATGAAATCCCAATGTGGGAGACATATTTTTTAAATGAACAAACAAATAGATCTAAAGAAAGCAGATTTAGCAGCAGTTTTGAGTACCAAAGTGGAGGGCCACATATTCCTCTCACACCCACTATTTTTCCATTTCAAATTGCCCACACAAGATCAAAACACAGGGAAAGACACATTTTAAGCTCTGCAGGAACAGCAGAGGTGGTGCTGCGGGAGCTATGAGCGTGGATGGAGCAGTGAAAAAGCAAGTAGGGAACAGATTGAACACCACCTCTCCTTTCTCTCTCTCTCTCTCTCCCCCATTTCTCTAATTTGCTCTTTGTCTCTTTTGTACTTCAAAAAAAGGGGAGAAGGTAATCCTCCAAGTTGCTTTTCTTTCTTTTCTTTAAAAAATAAATAAAAACCTAGAATTTGAGCTCCATTACATAAATTTGCTCATAACGTGTACTTAAGTCTCTAGCTATGAAAGGGTATTGTGTACTTCACGTTGCCTTGCTTGGTGAGAGTATGAAGCCTGGGCTTAGGGGAAAAAAAATGAAGATAAGGAACAGGACACCCACATTTAAAAATAAAATAGAATTCAGCGTCTCCTGAGTGCCATGTTACATAATAAATTTAAGAGAATGTTCTGTTGGTCTACTTAGATCTCTGCTGGGAGCATTCGGTGTACTAATTTAAGGCCAAACTTCCAGAGTCCTTGAATTTGTTTAGACCCTAATTAGAGGTGAGTTTAAAAAAGACAGACAGACATATGTACATCCAGCCACAAAGATACTTTGAGAGATGCACGTCCCACATCTGGGCTTTGAAAAGCGTATTCTCTCTTTTCTCTTTTTAAATGCTATTATATATACCCTTTCACCTATTTCACAGGTTATACGAATGGGCCTTGTTTAAAAAGTGCTGGTGTTAAGAAAACATTATGTATTGCATTTTAAGTATGAAATCTGTGCATCACTGTATAATGCAATCAATTTTCCATTTTCCCCTTAAGAATAAACCTGTAAAGACCTTCACACACCTCATGCATTACATAGGTTGAGGATGGACAAAATCCCCACCCACCCAAGTATTTTTTTGGCAGAATAGCTCACTGAATTGAAGCCACCCAGTTGATCACTTCAGTGTACCTTGAAGGAGAACAGCCAGTCCATGTGGCTTTGGGCAAACTACATGGTCTCAATATCCCCCGTACCTCCGAATAAGGCACTAGTAAACTCCTTCTGAATACTTCATACCAGTGGTTCCCAATCTTGGAACCCAGTCAGATGTTCTTGGGCTGCAATTCCCGGAAGCCTTTATCACCAGCCTTGCTGGCCCCGACTCTTGGGGCCAGCAAAGCTGGTGGTGAAAGCTTCTTGGACACCTGGTTTACTCAAGATTGGGAACCACTGCTTTATATCTAGACAGTCCGGAGAAAGATTGCTATATGTTGGAACCGACTTGACAGTACACAATTATTATATGTTTAGTATCTACCACAACCAAAACGTAGTGGAAACTAGAGAAAGTTTAATTTAAAGCAAACAAGTTTGCATCTGGATTCCCACACCAAATGTCTACAGTACATTTCAGGCAAGCTAAATGCTTGTTTTTTGCTTGCGTTAAATGCATTTTAGCTTTTGGCTGCTGCAATACCACAACAACAAGCCATTCAGAACAATACAAAAATGTTTGCTTTGAACAAACTTTCCCCTGAGTTGTTACTGGAATTCTCTGGCACCGTTTTTCAGTCAAATTCAGTGACATGGTTTTCTTGGGTGGTGGGTGCACAAATTCAGCTTGTGGGCTGCTAAAATGGCCCACAGGCCCTGTGATTCCCACTCACTTATAGTTGCTTGATCCACTCCAAGTACCAGGTCTGTCTCTCCGCTCTATTCTGTGTGGGTGAGTGTGTAGCATTACTGACAGGTCTCAGTGAATTGAAATCTTAAAATATCCCATAAATCTGACAGAGCCAGAAGGACAGAGTCGGAGTGATAGAAAAGAGAGACACAGAGAAAGGCTACTTCTCTCACACGTTCCGTAATTGCATTACAGAATTTGAGTCTGCAGGCTGTAGAGATGGTAGCCAGCTTGGGCAGCTTTAAAAGGGGAATCAGCAAACTCACTGAGGCTAAGTCTATCAGTGACTATTAAGTTTGTTAGCTGTACTGTACATTACATCTAGTATTGTGCAATATCCTAATATCCTTATCATTGGGGGTTGCTGAGGAATAACACTGTCACACTCTTGGCCCACTTGCTGTCTTTTTTTTTTTTTTACTCAAGCAGGACTGCTGGATAGCTCAGTGGTTGAGGCCTCTGGCTACGGAGCCAGAGGTTGGGGGTTCAGTTCCCCACTGTGCTTCCTTGACTGGGCTGGACTGGAGGATCCATAGGGTCCCTTCCAGCCCAGAAGTTCTAAGATGATTATTAGTGTCTGGTTGGCCTTTGGGCCAGTCTAGTGCCTAACTCTCCTTACCTCTTTCAATCACTGGCTTTGTACTGATCCTTGCTGCCCTTCACTCCTTTCAGAACACTCCTGCAACAGTTACAGAGGCTCCAAGCCATGGTGGCTGGGAAAGTGTCCCGCTCATGTAAAGCTGCCAGCACACAGACGGGGACCTGTCTTATGGTGAGTGTCTCCCTTTCTCCTTAGAAACCTTATTTGGTCAACAGCAGGGTGTGGTGGACTACAGAGATCAACATGCTGCACTTATTGATTGAATACCCTGCCTTCCTCACTTCCCCGAGTGGCACTTTCTCCACCCGTTTGTGGACCAATATAGACATGACACCACTTGTGCAATGGGGGGGGGAGTGTGTGGTTTTAAAAATATAAATGCCAGGGGCAGGGAGAAGAAACCTGGATCCGGACCCTTGGAGATGGGCAAAGAGTTGAAGTCCTCTTTGCGTCTTTGATTGGGTTTCTTCATCATGTTTTGCTTATGTGACTTGTTTTAGCTATGGCTGTAGAAGGCCTGTGCCTGTACTGGGGTGGGTAGGGGTGCCCTCTTCTTAGATTTGGAGGTGAGGCATCCCTATTAAGACCAAGAGATGCCAGTTCCAGTGCCTTTGTGCATATCAGGGAGAAGAGACGGGGAATTCTATTTCTTAATGCATTATCCACAACCTGATGGTTGTTAATGGACCCTGTTCACACTGACTGAAGCATTCTGGGAGTTCTCAGTTCAAAACTTACTCATCTCCGTCCAACTCTTGGAGAAAGTCTGGTTAGTTCTGAGCCATTCTGTTTTGTGTGAAGCACACTAACAAGTCATGACACCAATGAGAATGTGCAGTTAGAGGGCCACCATTCATCCTGGATGGGTGCCTGGAATGCAGTACTCATCATGGTAGCCTTTGCTTTCTTGCGTAGTTGGACAGAGAAAGCCCGGAGACTTTAGCTCAGAAAAAGCCAATCTCAGGGAAGAAAATTGCTACATCAATTTTGCTTATCTCCTTTTCTCTTGTCCCTCACTCTCCCAAATATAATTGTCTTATACTGCTTGTACTCATTTCTTCTTTCCAGAAATACATGGTAGTGTGTCTCCATAAAAAAAAAAAGTAAAAATAAAAGACAGCATAGGCAGAATTTCAATTCTATCTCATCTAAAAAATGTTGATTAAAAAAACCCTGCTAGCTAAGTAGGGGTGCAGGGAGGAATCCTTCTTGATGTGCTAGCTTTCTTTGGGAAGAGCCTTCAAATGCATGAATCCATCAGCTGCATCATAAAGTAACATTATCCCAGGAAAGTTGTACCATTTGCCTGTAGGTTGGCTTTATACAATGGATGAATTTTGGATGTGCTCCCCTTTCCTTTCTGTATTAATCCAATAGGAAAAATTGCTTTAAAATGATCATTCCCTTTCTATAGCAAGCAATTACTTTCTGTCTTCCTATCATTCTCTCCTTGCATAAGCCTCCCTTTCCCCAATATTTCCTGCTAAGTTGCTTTTCACGTTGCATGCGTGGCCATTGGCACGTGTAGCCTTGGACGCGCCTATGGTGGTGTTATGAAACAGCATTGAGATTCACGTCACAGTCTAGTCTTGCCGAGACGGATTTCTTACCTTTTCAAGTTTTGTGAGCAAGGCGCTCATCTGAGCAGAAAGGTTGCAGAGCTTCTGGGATTGTCATACTAATGTTGACGTGTCTCCTGTTCTGCTGATTCTTTGCCGCAACTCTGTTTTTAGTTACCAGCATTGAATAGAACTCAGGGCAGAGCAAGAGAACCAAACATCCTCTGCTTAATACTAATTTTAAAAGGGATGGTGAAGCACCCTTAAGATTAGCGGATTTATTATAGCCGGAGACACATACAGCCCACTTTCTTCGCTGCATGGAATATCATTTTGAGGCTTCAAACTCATATATATGTAATGCTTCAGTTAGGAATGGGAGACAGAGATATGAGCAGAAGTGAATTTAAATGCAGAATTATTACCAGTGACAACTGCTTTACTATGAACAGCCAGGCACCAAGTACTATAAGAATCTGTGATTCAATGCAAGAACTCCCCAGTGAAGCTGTCCTTGCTGCTTTTTCTACTTTGAACTTGCATTACTTTGTAAAGCAATGAAAAAGTTTTTGATGGAGTGGTTCTGAACACCCAGAAAATACAGAAGGCTATTGTGCTGAATGATAAGTGACTGATTAATTTGTGTTAGTGTGTTAAGAAGCCATTATCCTGTTTCAGACTTTTGGTGAAGGAGTCAAACTTCTGGAGCGATCCTAACTTGGCCACATGATGTGCTTGGCCATGATGATGAAATATCCTGTACATCCCTTGTTGTTGTTGTTTCTGCTAGGTGGTCGTATTATGCTTCGCCATTACTTTTGGCAGCTTCTCCCAGATTTATGGGCCTGATTCCTCCGTCACAAAGGCTGTACTGCCAAGCCAGCATTCCACACCAGAGTCATATGCAGCCTCTATCGGTGAGTGAAAATTCCCCACCTGCCTCTGATTCAATAGTTATTTGACTCTTAAACAAACCTTTCACCAAGCCTGGGTGCTCTAAAGTTGGAAGACTACAAATCCCACCATTGCCACCACCATGAGCAACAGTCAGGAATGATGGGAACTGTAGCCTATTCCAAGAATGGTGGCTTGGGGAAGAATTAGATTTTGGTGTTCATAAGGAGAGAAGGATACTATTTTTCTAGGGCTGGCCCCATCTTTGCTGTCCGTCTGCGTGCAGCAAAGACCGTTCTCTTCAGCCAGGCTTTCCTCTAAATGGCTGGTTGAGCCAGGGGAATTTTTTTTAAAGGAACTAATTTATCTAATGGCTGGTTGAGCCAGGGGAATTTTTTTAAAGGAACTAATTTATCCTGTTGTTTTACTTGTGTTTTTAACATTGCTCTTCTGAGTTTTAATATGGTATCTGCTTAATGCTTTTTAAAATACTGTAATCATTTATTATTTAGCTTTTACCCTTGTTTCTTTTAATACTGTAAGCCACCTTGGATCCTTTAGGGAGAAAGGCAGCAAATGAATATTTTAAATAAATAAAATAAATAAATCTTCATTCAGCAATGGACATGCTGCCTGGGTTGATGGGATAAGTGGTTTGATACCCTAGGAGTATAGTGGTGCCTTGCTAGACGATGAGAATCCGTTCCACTGAAATCGCTATTTAGCAAAATCATTGTCTAGCGAAAAGCATTTCCCCATTGGAATGCATTGAAACCTGTTTAATGCGTTCCAATGAGGAAGAATTGTCGTTGTCTAGTGAAGATCAGCCATAGGAAAGCTGCTTTGTGAACCACCGATCAGCTGTTTACATTGCTGTCTTGTGAAGCGTAGGTCCCGAAAACGCCTGTTTTGTGAGCATAGAGGAAGCTGTCAAAATTGTAGTATAGCGAAAATTGGTTTGCGAAGCAGGGACCAAACATTGTCCAGCAAAATTCCCCCATAAGAATCACTATTTTGTGAAGCGCTATAGCGTTCACAAAAAGTGAATGTCTAGCAAAAAAACTGTCATGCGGGGTAACTGTCTAGCGAGGTACCACTGTATACTTTCCCAAAGTACGGGAAAGTTGGTCTCAATGGCCCATAATAGAAAGCAGCTTTGAAAGAGTTTCTGAGCAAAATCTTTGCCCACCAAGTAAGTAACTGCGTGATAGTGAAGGACTATCTAATTTCTCTGATTAATTTCTAATTAATCTCTAACTAATTTCTCCGATTCTTTGTCATTTCTGAGTCTTATCATTTTTTGCCACACCTCTCTTTTTTTTCCCTTCTGTACAGTGAGGTCAAGGAGCCTGCTGATTTATGATGGGGCTCCCCCACTGGAGGAGCACCATTTCTTAGATAGCAGCAGCAGCAGCAGCAGCAGCTGGGACAGGCACCTGGAGCCTTCTAAGCATCCAGCCTTGTCTTTGGAGTCTGCATCGAGGTCCCCTGATGATGAAGTCACAGAGATCACGATAGCTAATGAGACGAGGCTAGAGAAAGCTGTACTGGTGGAGCTACAGCCACACAGGTGAGCAAGTGGGGGTGGGGGTCGGAGGTGGGAGCCACCAGGGCTAGAGATGGGCATGAACCGGTTCGTCCTGGTTCATCCCATTTCATAAAGGCGGCAGCACAGGTGCTGCTGCTCCCCTCCTCCACCTCCTCTGCCTCAAACAGCCACTCACTGGACCCAGCTTGCTTGTTTTTTTTCCCCCACCTCCTTGGCTAATCTCCCAGTCATGAGCAAGAGCACAGATTTCTTTGCCCTGCCCTTTTGTCTGAGTGGGAAATCCGCCAAGAGGGCAGGGCAGAGAAGCCTGAGCTGTTGCCAGGACTGAAAGATCCGTTGAGAAGGTGGAAAAAAAAACCAAGCAAGGTGGGCCTGGTGAGTGACTGTTTAAGCCCAGAGGAGAGCTGTTGCCGGGACTGGGAGATCAGTTGAGAAGGTGGGAAAAAAACAAGCAAGGTGGGCCTGGTGAGTGGCTGTTTGAGCCCAGAGGAGGTGGGGGAGAGGAGCAGCAGTATCTGTGCTGTTGCTTTTATGAACTGGGTTGAACTGGTTCATGCCCAGCTCTAATCACAGTTTAGAATGGCAAATGTTTGTACTGCTAGTCTTCCCATCCCAGCAGACCTGGCCACGCTGGCTGTGGGATTCCCAGTGCTGGAGTTCAAAGAAGTAACTTCTCAAAGCTTTGGCACAAAAGTAGGTAGTTCGCTGGTCCGTTTGATTTTCTGGACTGGGGATGTGGTATGGGAGAGAATTGCCAAGGGACTACTGCTCATTTGCGTTGATGAAAACAGCCCCTCCTCTAGGGCAGTGGTCCCCAACCTTGGGCCTCCAGATGTTCTTGGACTTCAATTCCCAGAAATCCTGGCCAACAGAGGTGGTGGTGATGGCTTCTGGGAGTTGTAGTCCAAGAACATCTGAAGGCCCAAGGTTGGGGATCACTGCTCTAGGGAACAGGAAGAAAATGGAGGCAGTGTCATGGGGTGAGGGACCAGTGACTCAACATACTCCTTTACCTGGGATGGCCAGTGTGGCCCTGGACAGGCTGCACAGTCTCAGGAAGTTCCCGGAAGAAGGGAATGGTAAAGTTCTTCTTTACTTGAGTGTTCTCTGCCTGGAAAAACTTGAAAAGTATCACCATAAATCAAAATTGACTTGATAGCACATGACCTGAGGCACCTCTGTACATACTTTTGTAAGTTAATCAAAATGATGATAATCCATTGATTTAGCCATTTAACTGCCATTCTAGACATGGCCTTAGCAGTGAATCCTGACTGAGTTGAGTGGGGCTTACCTCCTGGTGGAAATGGGCATAGGATTGCAGCCATATAGATGAAAAGAATTACAGCTTCAGGTTTTTGCAAACTCTGGCATCCCCTGTTAAAGGCAGCTCTGGTTGCAGAGCTAAAAAATTCTCCCTCTGACTCTTCCGCTGTGCAATGGAGCTGTATAAATTGAGTCAATGTTTAGTAATAGCAATAGAAAATAGTCCATGTTGGCTTGTTTGTTTGTCTGCAACTGTTGCCGCTTTGTAGTATCCTGAGTTCTTCTCCCATCTCTGATTATAGAGTCAACTCAGAGTTGGAAATGAATGAAACACTAAAGTTCATCGAAATTGACAGAAGAATGAATGCTACATCTTAAAAGAGAAAGACAGAGAGAGAGAGAGGAGGAGGGTTATTCTTATCCCTTCATCTTTTTTCCAGCCAAAGGTTTGAGGAACTAATCATTGTCAATAAATCCAAAGTGCTTGTCTGATTTCCACACTGGCTTACGGGGAAGTGGCTTTGGTCTGCAGTTCTTCTTTGATTCTTCCCACACACATCCTCCCTGCTGGCCCCGGATCTCCAACTCCTGATGCTCAATTTGGCTTTTTCACTCCTACGCCCAAGAGAAACGCTTTAATGGCGGCTAGTGCCAAGAAGGTGCTGCTGCCGAGGATATGATCTGAGCAGGCAAATCTCCTGGAGGAGGTGCCGAATGGATAACCAAGCTGTCCTTGTGTCTTTGTAAAAACTGCAGCTGTCATGTTTCTGCTGTCCTGTTGCATAATAAATGCATCGAAAGGGAAAATCAGCTTGTAGAGGTTTTTTGGTAATAGCCAGGACCTGCGTCCTGCAGTTAGGCAAAGGATGATTAGGCAAAGTTTCATGTCTTATATGGTCATCTCACCAGGAGGTGGGAAACCACCAATAATGTTTCAGTGATTTATTTATCAGCGATTGTGTATTCTAAACTGTTCAGTTCCTACATGGAAACATGACCATAATACAATTGTATGTGGTGTTCTTGAATTGGAAGAACTGGATTGATGTTGTGCCATATCATAGTGGTAGAAGTGTGCAAGAATGGGCAATTTATCAAGTTCTAGCAGTGCATTCTTGAAAAATGTTTCACCTTTTATCATGATTTTACTGCAAAAGTATAAAAGTATCAGCAAAGCAAGTGTTTTTAAAATCACCAATCTTGTAATCATGGAAGAATGAGCAATTATGAGGTTACTTTTCACTTCATGTTAACATCATCCTGTGGAGTTTCAAAGACTTTGGAACTCTATCGTAGTAGGTTGTAACTTATCAGCTTTTATTGGGAAGACGTTGCAGGGAAGTAAGGAGAGTGAAAGAAGCTTCAGTTAAATTTGGCAGAAGTGTTGGCAAATATCACAATCTTAGTTGTATGCTTCCTTCACTGGACTTTAAATGGAGGGTTAATATTTGATGCCCAAGCTCACAATACTTTATAGAACAATACTTTATAGAGACATAATAAGCAGGTGACTGGATTCTTCCCCTCTGACACCTCCCTTCAAGACCTGCAACAATGAAAACTCAGTCTTCTGGATTGACTGCAAGGAGGAACGATCACCCTTGGAGCAGTCCTTTGACTACAAATGGATAAGTGGAAAGTTAAAATTTTAGGAACTAGGTTCAGATGTTCACTTGCCAAGGAGCTTGTTGCGTGACTGTGGGCTCCATCACGAGCCCTAGGAGACTTCGCAAAGCTGTTGTAAAGATAGATTAGGGTAGGAGAGAACTCATGTGCACTACTTTGAACTCCTGGGTGGTGGGGTGAGTTCCAATATGTATGAATTATATATGAGATGAATATTCTGTTCAGTGCTGCCATAAGTCATCTCTTTTAAGAGTAGCCTCTATGGGCTAGGCTGGGTCCTCTGTCCTGATATGAAAACACTGGAGCAGCAGAGGAGAACAAAAACAAAAGCAGTGATTATAAAGAAAGTTTAGGACAGAGGCATATGAGGCTATATGAATGAGCATGGGCTTCCATTCATTTATCCCCCATTACATTTCCTTGCACCACTCTACCTTAGATGTATAGGTAAAGGTAAAATCTCTCCTTGACATTTAGTCCAGTCGTGTCTGACTCTAGGGTGCGATGCTCATCTCCGTTTCCAAGCCATACAGCCAGCATTTGTGTCTGAAGTCAGTTTCTGTGGTCACGTGGCCAGCGAGACTAGACACGGAATGCCATTACTTTCCCACCAAGGTGGTACCTATTTATCTACTCACATTTACATGCTTCCGAACTGCTAGGTCAGCAGGAGCTGGGACAAGCGACGGGAGCTCACTCTGTCGCATGGAGTTGATCTTATGACTGCTTGGTCTTCTGACCTTGCAGCACAGAGGCTTCTGTGGTTTAACCTGCAGCGCCACCACATCCCCTCTAGATGTATAGAGTCACCCTCAACTTTTATGAGAAAAAGGCAGGCACTATGGTTCTAGCCTTCTCTGCCTGATCTGCAAGAAAGAAGACAGCTGAAGTGGATCTACCTGAACACCCAAATATTCAGTTTCCGTTGCTTGGTTGCCCAGATGAATCCTTGGGTTGCTGAGATTCCTATGCCATCTCTGTGCCCCTTCTGTTGTAAATAGTATTTATTAGGAGTTTCCCCCCCTCTTGACCTTAGCTGGCACTTGGAATGACCCTCAAATGATCCTGGTGATCTTTAAGGAATTTCCAAAATTTCTTTTTTAGGCTTCTAGCACTTAACTTAAACTCTCAATGTAATAATGTCTTCAAGCTTCAACCCAACCTGGTTTTCTCCCTGTGAGTATGTACCTGAAGCCAAAGATGGATTAGGTTTCTGGGCTTTAGCCAACAGACCTGGGGCCTGGGGTATTCTGTGCCTTGTAGTCCAAAAAGAGAGAGCAGAACTCCCCCCACTAATCTCTGCTGAAACCAACTCTTCCAGCAAAAACCAGCCTAGATTTTCAGCCTCCTGTTTACTTGAGAAATTCTAAGGTACTATAACCATGAATGAGCATGATTTCTGCTTTGGTGCCCAAGGCCAGTTCTGCGACCAGAAAATTCACTAAGCATCTAGTTCTCGAATAAGTGGAATTGTAAATCTTTGCCACAGTTTTCTCTATGTTGCTTCTCAGATCAGTCATCACCCTCCTCACGCTGTTCTAGTAGGTATTGGAACAGCTAAGATGTGTATGTAGAAGTAGCGTACCCCTCCTCCCCATAACTCAACCTCTGATTAAAATATTAATAATAACAACAAAGCTCTTTGCTTAAATCTTTCAAAGTGATGCCCTCATTTGCCTTCAGCAGGGTATCCTGGGCATACTAAAACAATGTTTGGAAAACAATGATAATTTCATGACGCCATCTGGCACAGATTCCACATCTCTGTATCTGCTAGATTTTTAGAAAGCTGGTGGGTTATGAAAGGAGAGGGATTATTTTATATTTTGTATTCATGGAAATCAAGTATGAGGTTGGTGACGCGAATGAATTGTGTCACTTAATCATGAGCTTGTATCTTGATGATATATTTTGTTTGCTGTACATGTGCTTCAGTTTTACGATATCTGTCTTAATGCTTGCTCCTTTTTGCTGTGCAAATGTAATGTGTTTTAACAGGTGGGTGCTTCTGAGCCAGATTTCAGCTTATGTAAATTTGTGGCTTTTTAAACCTCAGGCTAATGATTTGCCCCCTTTTATAGCAGAACAGTTGGGCAATTTTTCAACTAGACTTAGAAACATTGCCCACTTGTTGCTTGTAAATCTGTGTTTAATGTCAAATTTAAGATGCCCAGTTTTCCCTTTTTGGAATAATACTTTGTGTGGATTTCATCCCCTTTTGTTAAACCTTCAATTTTGAGGAGTAGATGCTGTCTAGACACCTTTTGGCTGTCAGTCAAATAAGATGAGTAATATTAATTGCCACACTGGGCAGGATTTTGACAAAGAACTTGGGATCTTGAATTCAGAAGGCCAATTTGCAAACACCCCCACTGCTACCACGCATGAGCAACATAAGGTATTGTATATTTAGCATCCTTCTCCCCACTCAGTGACAAAAATAATTCTCCTGTAATTGCTAATTGGAAAGAGGCCATTTTATCCCCGTGTAATTTTGAAGGTGAAACAGTAGGCCACTGTTCCAGCAGCTGAGAGCAGCCAAGCTGGGTCTTTCTAAAAGTCCATTTGGTCTCATTGAAGTTTATATGAAGCCTTTGCTAGCATGAATTTGAACCTAGGGCTCGTAGGTTTCTGTCTTGTAATAAATTAGTTTTAAAGCTGATTAGTTTTCTATTCTAAAGTACTTCCCAACCTTGGGTTTCTAGCTGGATCACAGTTCCAGGGATCCCTCGACCATTGATCATACTGGCCAGGACCTCTGGAGTTAAGTGTCTTACAGAGTTTCCAGACCCTTTTTTGGAAGCCACTGTTCAATGACTCAGACCTTATTTCTTGCTGAAACAGGAATGCGGAAGTAAAGTGGGGTCTTGACTTAAGAACGGCTTGACTTAAGAACATTTTGACTTAAGAACCACTCTCATAGGAAAATATTGACTTGACTTACATACTTAGATTTGAGTTAAGAACTGAAAAAACCCCACGTGGGAGGCAGGGAAATCCCTGAACCTTTCTTGACCTAAGAAAACAAGAAACAAAATATCCCCCTCTAGTGCTCGAAGGCAGAATAGCAGCTTCCCATTAGTTTCTATGGACGGAAAAGAGCAGATACGGATCAAATGGTTTTCAATGCATTCCTATGGGAAATGCAGATTTGACCTGAGAACTTTTTGACTTGAGAACCGCCTTCCAATACAGATTAAGTTCTCAAGTCAAGACCCCACTGTAAAGTGTTAATGCATAACAGGCAAAGCCTGGAGGAATTTGCATGGATTAAAAAAGAGAGAGAACATTAAGTGAAGGTAATTTGCTTTGTTCGTCTGCAAAAGTTTGTCCATTTCCAATGGTCCCTTCTTTTGTAATAATCCTACAACCAACAATAGTCTGATGACATCTTGAAGATTAACAAAATAATGATGGCATGTAGAAATAGCAGAATAGTAAAATAGAAAGGTCCAATGGAAATGCAAGACTAAAAGGTACAGTCTCTGGATAATTAAATCGCGCTTAAATGTTTACAAAATGAATGCAGTGAGCAGTCAGAACAGTAGTAATTGCGCAAGCATCGTAGCATTGCTAATAATTCCACTAAACAGCACAGACACTCACAGTCCTTTCCTGAAATAAATAACATAATTCCAATTTAGAAGTATTATAAGGCACAATTTACAGCTGGTAGGGAGGAAGCATTTTAAATGTACAGTTTGTCCCTTTGATATCATTCAGTGCAGAATTTGAAGGTTCTACTTGTACCTTTAGCAGAAGTTAGAAAGCAGCAGAACATAGTTAAAAAAAAAACTCCTGTGGAACAGCAAGTAAGACTTTTTTAACCTGGGCAGGCTGGTGTCTCTTCATACATGTCTTATAATTCTAGACCAGTGTTTCTCAGTTATAAAAAGAGTGTCCCTCTTTTAATAAAGTCCTTTCCCCAGATGTTGTACAAGCTGATCATAACATGAATTGCAAAGTTTTGCAATTCATGTTATGCTTTGCAATTCATGTTCTGATCAGCTTGTACAACACCTGGGGAAAGGATTTTATTAAAAGAGGGACACTCTTTTTATAACTGAGACTGGTCTAGAATTATAAGACATGTATGAAGAGATACCAGCCTAGTATCTCTTCAGATACCTTATAAATCTCTTCAGATACCTTATAGTTTTATAGTAAAGGATTTTATTAAA